ATTTATATATAGTTGATAAACAACAACAACATTATCAATATATTTAGGATTTTTTTTTATATATAAATATATATAAATAAAAAATAAGTCAAATGTTAGGCTAAATATTATTAGTATTATTATTATGTGATATACCATTAGTAATATAGCAATTATTGGATTAATATTAAAATTTAGTTATATATATTTATTTGTATTATTATATTTACAAAGTTAAGTGTATTTACAAGTGTTTTATTATATTATATATATTATTGATTGCTATACACTTATCTACACGTGTTTATCATTTGATTTAAATTTTGTATTGATTTGTTAACTACATATATATATATATATATATATATATATATATATATATATATATATATATATATTAAATAAAATATATATAATAAAATTGTTGTATCACTCATTTGCAATATTACACAATAATAATAATACTAAAAATGTAAGTAAATATAAAATTAATTTTAATATTTAAAAAAWATTTTATACTACTAATATTCAATATATTTTTTTAAACTTAAGTATTAGGTATTAAATAATAATAATTATTATTATTACATTAAATAATCTAAAATAAAATAAAAAATATATTAATAAATTTTTTTGTTGAAACAATTTTTTTGTGTATATATATAAATCTGTGTATAGATAAGCAATTGATTATTATTATCACAACATAAAAAAAATAAATTAAACTTTTTTTTGAAGATTACAACCAACAACAAAAAAAAATGAAAAATTATTTCCAAGAAACCAAAATAAAAAAATAAAAATAAATCTTTAGATTAATACTAGATATTAATAATAAAAAAAAGATTATTTCCATAAAATACTAGTAATTTATTAATCATATATACAATATTAATATGATATATACTGTATATATATATGTATATATATTGCTCTTAATGAACATATATATATATATATATATACAGTATATACTGTACAATATAGAGGGGAAAGCCTATTGTCATACGACATGGTTTTCATCAATCATACGGTACTCATGAATACAAAAGATCTCTCTCTCTCTCTCTCTCTCTCTCTCTCTCTCTCTCTCTCTCTCTCTCTCTCTCTCTCTCTCTCTCTCTCTCTCTCTCTCTCTCTTTCATAGACTATACCCAACACACACACACACACACATAACCAATTGATTCATTATATATATATATATATATATATATATATATATATGTATTTATTGTCATTTATTTTGTTTTTCTTTTGTTATATGAATAGCAATAACAACAACAATAATATTCATGTTTTATTAATTATAACATAATAAGGTCAACAACAATAATAATGATAAATTGTTTATATATATATATATATATATATATATATACAGTATATATATATATTGTATATCAATGACAATATTGTATTGATAAATGTATAGATATAATATAAACAAGTATTAAAAAATATAATATAGTATATATATATTAATAGATTATAATAAAGCAATAATAATTTTCAAATCAAGTTATATATATATAATAACGAAAACCAAATTTGATATATATATTAGATATTTATAGTATTATTAAAAAAAATTATTACTAAAATATAATCATTTCATTCAAATAATACAATATATTTATATGTGTTTTATATCATTATATAATAATGTGATCATCAATACATTAGTAGTTTTTTGTTTGTTAGGTATGTCACAAAAAAAATCCCATCCCATCACAACACAGTTAATATTAATACAAGTCATACATTATAGTTAACTGTATATAAATAATATATATATACAAATATATATAATTTATATATTGATAACTAGTGTCTTGATTTCCAACTAAAAAAATTATTTTGTCGGTTTAACGCTTATAACTGGGACTTAGTATGTCCACCGAACTTGACCAGTGGACGCTATTTCCGAAATTTTATTATAACTATAAATAACTATTTGTTAGGCTGGCAACTATAAAAACTTATAAATAACTATTTCATTTATTTTGAAAAATATAAGCATTAAATTGTAAAATATTGCTCAAATATATGTAAAAACAAAAAGTAATAGTTATATAAATTATATAAAATGTGTAAACTGTTATCAACTCATATTACTTTTTTAACAATAGAAATATTTAGTTTATTTATATAAATCATTTTTGTAAATATGCTGAAAACAAGTAAATTATATATCAGTTGAAATATTTATAAGAAAATAAATAACTATTTCAATAACTATTTGGCTTTTTTGGCAATTATATACAACTATTTAATACAGTTTAAATAACTATTTTAACAACTATTTGACGTTTTTTAGCAACTATTATAACAACTATTTAATAGAGTATAAAAAATTATTAATCAATACACTATTGATAACTTAATAATAATACTATATATATATTGAATTTAATAGTGATCCAAACAATATTGTCGTAGTGACCAAAAACATAAAACATTTGTAATATATATAAATATATTACAAATGTTATATAAATTATATATATATATATATATATATATATATATATATATATATATATATAGTATAAGTACAGTATGTATGTGTCAATATAAATTACTTGTCAAACATACTGTATATTACATAATATAATAATAAAATATACAGTATATATATATATACACACACACACTGTATATATATATATATATATATAATATGATTAAATTAAATAGTTTGTATGTAACTGTCATACACTGAGACAATTTAATTAACCTAACAATGCATAGTTGGCATAATTTTTTKTATGTGTGTGTGTATGTGTGCTTGATAAGTTTTGCTAATAATTTAATTAAAAAACAAATATATTTATATATATATATATATATATACTGTTTATAAACTATATTATACTGTATATAATATACTGTAGTTATACAACAAAAATTTTTTAAAAATATATTGATGCATTAATAACCGTTTTATTTTTATTTTTTAATTTTTTTGTTAAATTAATAATATATTAAACAATTTATTATATATATTTTTGTTGTTGTTGAAAAAAACATATTTAATCTATAACTTCAATATAAAATTTTTTTTTATTTTGCATAATATGAATATTTTATATATATATATAATAATTCAATTTATATAATAATTTAAAATTTATTTGATTTTTTGTTTTCACACTCTAAAATATTCAAATAATAATTTTTATTTTTAAAAATTTTTTTTTGATATAAAATCATAGTTTATTAATACATTTATCAAAGTCATCATAAATTATGAAAATATTTTATTTAATTATGTATTGTTTGTAATAGCAAAATAAAAATACTTGAAATGATTTATTTTTTTTAAGCAATATTTTCAAAATTAACTAAAAACTATTTATTTTTTCATGAATCTAATAAACTATACAATATTTAATAAATGTTTTTTTTAATAATAAAAATAATAAAATATATAATAAATGAATGAATGAAAGAAAATGAAAACTATATAATAATCAATATTATATATATATATATATATTTGTATTGATATCTAGAGATTTATATCTGTTTTTTGTATTTTCTAAATAACAACAAATATATATATAATATACAGAATATTCTGTAACTATACCTATATATATATATACAAAAAAACATATTAACTGTAATATGTTATATATATATACATTATATTTTTGATATACCGGTGATACTACCGGTGTATATATACCGTAAAGTATTAGACAGTTTACAGTATGATTTGGTGGTATTTTTTTCATCATCATTGACATCAACAACACCAACAACAACAACAACAAAAGTGCAAATCTGATGAATAAGTAGTAGTAGTAGTAGTAGTAATATGTGTGGAAGTGATGATGAGATTAGATGGTAATCCTAGTGCCACTTCTGGCAACTTCTGGTTTCTGGAGGGGATGAGAGAGAGAGAGAGAGAGAGAGAGAGAGAGAGAGAGAAAGAAAGAGTGAAAGAGAGAGAGAGAGAGAGAGAGAGTATGTTATGCAATACATCCACACACATAGGGACAGACATATGGATAGACAGTAGGAAACATAGGGATAGAAAGAGAGAGAGAGAGAGAGAAAGAGAAAGAAAGAGAGAGATAAAGAGAAAGAGAGAGAAAGAGAGAGAAAAAGAGAGAGAAAAAAAGAGAGAGAGAGAGAGAAAGAGAGAGAGAGAGAGGTGGCGATGGCAGTGGATATATATATGTATATCAATGGATACGGCGCTTGCGTTTGTGTCTTATATAGTATGTGTGTATGTGTGCGGTGTCTGACTATCTCTTAGCTTATATATATATACCAATTGGCCGCACATTTTCGCACTGATCATCACTGGGTAATCAAACAGTTAGTCAGTCAGTCAGTCAGTCAGTTCAGTCAGACAGACCAACCAACCAACCAACACAACTAACACATCAGATATAAGACTATTATTATTATTATTATTATTATTAGTGGTGTTGTTGTTGTTGTCTATCACTTGTGTTTTTCAGACACTGTTTTCTCTGTTAGGTCTTAACATTTGAAAAGATTTTTTTGTATTATATATTTTCTTGTGATAAATAAAATAGAGATTAACTATCTTTGAATTTTATTTATATATAATATAATAATTTTTTTTTTGTTTTGTTTGTTTGTTTTAACCAAAAACAAAAACAAAACAACTTAAACAACAAACTGATCCCAAAAATTGTTATTATTATTATTATTACAGTATTATAAAAAAGTTTTTTTGTTTGTTTGGTTGATTTTAAAAAACTTTGTTTACCATCGATGATGACTATTGATTATTGATAGTCAACCGTAACCAACAAAACAGTCTATATTTACCGCACCACCGATGATGATGATGATTATGATGAAGATATATGAATTAAGAGATAAATAAATAAACCGATAATTTTTTTTTGTTATATATTGGTATCAAAAAAATATAATAATAATAATAATAACTCAAGCGTTTGGAAAACAATAAAAAAAATATTTTACCCAAAAAAATAAATAAATAAAACATAAAAATGGTTTTTTCCGGACCTATGTATATGATGGCTAAAGAGGAGGGATAATAATAATGGCATTGAAGAGTCAATTGATAATAATTAGTAGCAATTTTTTGCTACTTATGATAACAACAACAATATTAACAAATCAATTGTGTTGTTGTTTGAATGGTCTGACCATTGCTACCGCCGCCGATGGCGACAATGAATTACAAATCAGATCATCGGTCCGATCGTATAGTAGTAGTAGTAGTAGTAGTAGTAATGATGACGACATTAGTAGTGGTGGTCAGCGGCCGACTCAACCAATTACCGAACAGCCAGCCGTAATGATGATACCGGCCACCGGTTTCGGACAGTTTGTACCGCAAGATCATAGCGGTCCCGACGACACAGGCGTTAGTGTTGGTGTCCATCAAATACAGTCCAAAAGAAACGATACGACTGTTACCGTAGCCGACAACCCATTAGCACCACAGCCACCAGTGATGACCACTGGTTCGGGCGGTAGTAGTAGTGGTGGCGGTGTCCGACCTGGCGATGGATGTACAGTGATTGGCCAGACAACCTGTGAATGTGTTGGCCAATCGGTTACCGAAGTTCCCGCCAATTTGAGCCGTCAGCTGAAAAAACTGTAAGTTTTTATTTTTAATTAACTTTTAAGTTTAATAATAATTTTAATTATTATTATTTCTACTATTTTTTTTAATAATAATAGTATTTATTAAATAAGTTAATTAAGTAATTTTATTTAAATAAATAAATTATATCATTTAGTTTATTTTAGTATCTTTTATATGATAATATAAAATTTATACCTAAAAAATATTAATTTAATATTTAATATTTAATTTTTTTTATTTAAATAAAAATGTAACAAATATAACATAAAATTGTATTATTAAATCTATAATAATACAAAAATTAATTACCGGTAATTAATTTTTTGTTTGTTAAAACTAATTTTATTACATAACTATAATACTGTCTATAATAACTATAATAAGTGATAATTTATATAATATTTGCAACAACAAAAAATAAATATTTATTACATTAAGTTAGATTTAGTATATGATAGATAAGTGTTTTTTTTTTGAACAAAAAAAATATATTTTTGGTAAAAAAATAAATCATTTTTTAATATTAACATAATGTATCATAAACATTTAAAAATAAACTGTTTGATAAAAATATATCTATATATATATATATATATATATATAGTATATGATAGTTATGTTTACAACATTTTACATATTATTTGACATCTATTTTTTTTTTAAATTATATGTAAATTATTTTGATATAAAATTTATTATTATAATTACTTGAAAATTAAAAATAAATAAATAGTGCATTGAAATTAAAAATATTTTACTAGTTTTTTTTAAAAAAAATTTTATGAAAACATTTTTATGATTTAATATACTCTATATATACTGTATAATACTGTATATTGTATAATAAATATATTAAATATATATACAATATATAATGTAAATATCATAATATTGCACAACAAACTTGTATATTTATATATTAAAAAAATAAAGTGTTTTTAATTATATATATATATATTTATCTTTGAATTGCATACAAAACATTATTATTATTATACAACCATTTAAATTATTTGATAATATTTCAAGTTTAATAACAACAACAACAACAATATTAGTTTATTTTTATTATTATTAATATTTTCTAGAATTACATAATAATAATAAAAGATTGAAACAAAAACTAAATTATTTAAACATTTATTAAATAAATTAATAAAATTTTCACAAAAAAATGTTACCAAAAAATAATCTAAATAATTAGCAATTTTTACAAAAAAAAAATATTATAATAAATATTTTATTATTATTATTAGTAGTAGTAGTAATTAGTATAAATAATTAATACCCAGTTATATATATATACGTTATATACACTAAACTGTAGTCAATATGTTTTTAAGGCATTGTATTTTTTTTTAAAAAAATGTGTTATTTATTAGAAATTTTATGCATTTTTTGCGAAAAATTTATTATTATTATTATTATTATTTGGTATATTATAAGCAAAAAAAATAATTATTAAAAGCTTATACAGTATATAATATAAATGATATTTCTATATACAATATTGAGTATATATATATATATAAATATCAAAAACATTTAATTTTGTTAAGACTATATTAAAAGTTTATATAACTATATATATATATATATATATATATATATATATATATATATATATATATATATATATTGTTATATTCAGTATATTTTAATATAATATAATGATATTATCTTTGAAAGTGTCCAATAGCTATATATATATATATGCTGTTAATATATTGTTATATACAGTATTGCAATATTATTATTATCATGTATTAGATTAATGACCGTCAGATCAATAGACGGGTCGGTTTGGGTATTATTATTATTATTAGTAGTAATTTTTATGTTTTATATAACTGTATTAAATCTTATTCATTGGTATAACATTGTATGGATAGCCATCAGCAATATATATAAATAAGTATATATATATATATATATATATATTTCGTGGTAGATGTGTGTGTGTGTGTGTGTGTGTGTGTGTGTGTGTGTAATATAGCGTGGGTTAGTCAAGACAGTCACTAACCGTTAAGTTATATAATATATATATTTTTAGTGTCAAACAGCACACACACACACACATACACACATACATACATACACACACACACACACACACACACACTTACACACAAACATACACAAATACATACATACATATACACATATACACATATACATATACACACATACATATACACACAAACATATACACACATACATATACACACATACATACACAGCTAAATAAGTTATATAAATAAAAATCAATTTTATTCTAGTATTTTCAATGTCCATAAAAAATAAAGTATAAATATATATATAAATAAAAAGATTTATATATATATATATATATTTTTGAGAGAGAGGAGGGTGTTATCGTAAATATTTTATTGTTTGCCCTTTATCTATAATTTATTATAATATGATATGTAGTATTAACATAGCACTGATAAAAAATTGTTAATATATTTATATCATATTATTATTATTATTATTATATTTTCAAATATTTTTTATTTTATTTATTATTAGTAATATATTTGTTTAACATATAAATGTACACATTATATACAGTATTATACTATATTATGCAAACTAAATATATTAAATATATATATATATATATTATACAGTATTTGATTTAATATATATTAATAAAAACTTTATATCAAAATTATTATATATATATAAAAGTTCTTAAGTAAACATAAAGATCTCTCTCTCTCTCTCTCTCTCTCTCTCTCTCTCTTCTTTCTTTCTTATGATATATAAAAAAACTTATATTAGACTAATATATATTCAATATATATATATATAATATATTATTTATATATACATTATATACTTAACATATTATTTATTAAATGTTATATAATATGTTTGTCTGGCTGTCTGTCAATGTGTTTGTTTGTACAGTATATTGATATACAGTGTATATATATGGCCTAAACATTAACACCAACTGGGATTATACTGTAGTTTTTTTTAAAAGGTATAAAAATGCATATATAAAAGCTGTTTATATATATATATATATAAATATTATGTATTTAAATAATTAAATATATCTAATAATTTGTTTGTTTACTAATTGGATAAATTTAAATGTCAATATTAAAAAAATAATTATACAAAAAAATATATATATAAATAGTATATAAAGTTTTATATATAAATATACTTAAAATAAAATCTTAAATAATTTTATTTAAATAATAGTTAATAACAACAAAAAATAGTTAACACAATAAATAATATCTATTATAAAAGCAATTATTTTAGTTAGTTTTTCAATTATTATTATAAAAATTTATTTTTTTAAAAAACTATTACTTTTACTCTACTATTTTCAAACAAATTTTTAAATTGTATTCAAACAAACAAAAAAAATCTTTAAATGCTTTTAAAGTGAAAAATATAACAACAAAAATATTTATAACTAAACTAATATTTATATTTAAGTTATATATATATATATATATATTAAATATATTGATATGTTTTTTAGATTAATAATGTTTTTTAAAAGTTTATAAAATAAGTGGATTTTTTATTTGTTTGTTTTGTTTTATTATAAAGTATATTTTGTTAACAAATATATATATATATATATATATAATATATATATATATATATATATATATATATATATATATATATATATAATATATTTGTATTATTATTATTATATTTAATAAATTTATTTCTTTATCCATTTTAATAATGAGAATAATAATAATAATAATAATAAAGTTTTCTAGTATTTAATCCTTAAAAATAAATTTTTATTTATTCACATAAATATTTGGAATTTTTTTTATCAGTTTATAAATTAATTTTGATAAAAATTGTTGAAAAATTTTTATATAATATAATAATATACTAATTATATTTACTAATAATATTAAAACTTAATAATACAGATATTTACTAAACAAAACAAAAAAAATATACATTTTTATATAATAAGGTAATAATAGTAATAGTAGTAGAAGTAGAAGTAGTAGTAGTAGTAGTAATAATAGTAGTAATAATAGTAGTAATAATAATACTAAAGTTTTGACATTTTTTAAAAAATATTAAATATTTTATACGAGAAAATTTTTGGTAGAAATCAAATAATTTAATTATAAAACATTTTTTTCAAATAATTGAAATAAAATAAAAATTGTTATAAATATTTTGCTTCTTATATATATATATATATATATATACTGTATATATAATAGAGAGAGAGAGAGAGAGATTTAAATTATTAATTGTAATTTAATTATTTAAATTATTTTTTTATTAATGTTTTACTCTCTAATTAGATTATAAAAATATTTTATAAGATGATTATAATAAATTTACTATAATTTACTGTATTTGATAATTTTGTTGTTAAAAATATTTTTTTTTATTTATCAAAATTGATTAGTAGTAAACAATAATTAGTGTAATAACACATGAGTTATAATTTTTATGCTAATTATATAATTTATATATTTASAATATTTACTGTAATATATARATATATATATATATATACAATATATAAAGTAAATATTATATTTATAATTGATATCCAAAAATAAAAACCATATTTATTTGACATTTATCATATTGAATATATACATAATAATAATAATTAAAATTTTCAAAAAATCAAATGTTGATAATAATAATTGTTGCATAAAATGTTATATATATTTATACGCTTTTATGGTTTATGGTATTTAATTGATTTGTGTTATATTAATACATTTATTATAACTTATATATATATTAAACTATTTAATATCAGTCTATTTAACACACATACACACATGTAATTGCTTGGGAGATAATTATTATTTTTAATTAACTTTTTATATTTATTTATTTGTGTGGTTAGACATTGTGTGTGGCTAACAATAATTTTTGGATACACTGTCTAATACAGAGACAGCTAAAAACTATTAGTTTACAGTATACTGTATATACAGTGTATTAATATAATAAGCCTTATATATATATGTTGTACTGTATA